GCATCATCGTTTGATTGATCATATGCACCCACCATCTCATCCCAATTATCTTCAACCCAGGTGTTCCATAGCGCTAATACTAACCCCCAGGGTAAATACAAATGTAGTCTTAAAATTCCCACTCTGTTATTTACACTTAAATTTATACGTTTTAATGCTATGTCGCGTAAAGACACTGGTTGGAATTTATATGAACTCATTTTTACTAATATTAAAAAATTACTATCATACATCCTTACTTATATATGTCCGTCCCACACCACATCCGTTATCCCTTGCAAATGAAATGTTTAAATACATAAAATTCTGAAATTAATTAATCAGTTACATATTTAAGTTCTAAAAGAAAACATGTATAAAATGATGTCTCAGGAAGAATTTAGATGCGCATTGAAGGTGTTTTTAAACGATATTATTATACATGCTAAAAACTCCGAAATCGAGTTGAAACTATTAAATTTAGAAGACCTGGAGGACACTGAATTATTTGAAAATGTTGAGTTCATTATGTATTGTGATTATTTATCGATAAACTGGAAAATCTATCGGAATGGAAATACGTTCTATGCTGGAAATAGTGATGTATTTGAATTTCATAATAAATTTAAAAGTTTTTTAAAAGAAAAAGGACACTTTATTGAAAATGAAAACGCTAAATTAATCATTATGGATAATGCTTTATCTTTCAATAATAATATCGAACATGTGGAATTTTGCTACTTTGATTATGCTGTTTGGAGTTTATATCATAAAAATAATGTGATTTTTGCTGTATTTATAAGATATTAAATAGATTTATTATACATGTTATATTTAAATTTCCCATTTTTGATTTCGCATACATCCTGTTTTTGTAAAAGACATAGTTATCTCCATGGTTTACCGCGACTTCCCGGAAATCCCCCCTATTTCTTCTTTCATGTAAACATCCTGTTTTTCATGAAAGATATAATTATCTTTATGGTCTACCGCAACTTCCCGGAAACCCCCTCTATTTCTTCTTTCGTGTCAACATCCTGTTGTTCATAAAAGAGATAGTCATCTTTATGGTCTACCACAACTTCCCGGAAATCCCCCCCTATTTCTTCTTTCATGCAAACATCCTGTTTTTCATAAAAGACATAATTATCTTTATAGTCTACCACAACTTCCCGGAAATTTATATCTAAACATCCTGTTTTTATAAAAGGACAGTCATCTTTATGGTCTACCGCAACTTCCCGGAAATCCCCCCTATTTCTTCTCTCATGTAAACATCCTGTTTTTCATAACAGACATAATTATCTTTATGGTCTACCGCAACTTCCCGGAAACCCACCCTATTTCTTCTTTCGCGTCAACATCCTGTTGTTCATAAAAGAGATAGTTATCTTTATGGTCTACCACAACTTCCCGGAAATCCCCCCTATTTTTTCTTCTCAACCAATGAAAGTTCTGTAAACATCCTGTTTTTTTATTTCTAGATAATTCGAAATGATGTGAAATTTAAGTACATATAACCATAAGACGGCTTTTAATTATGAGTATTCTAGTTAAAGTCAAAACTGCTATACCAAGTATGTCACTATCGCATTTAAATACGTTGGGGCTCTGTGAATCTGGAAAATTCCTCATCCTATAAAACAAGCAAAACGTGTGACAACGTTGAAATGGCCATCGGTTGTTCTCGAATTAGAGGATGATTTTTCGATGTTTTTACCGAAACGAATGGCTGAGGAGATGACTGATGAAGACATCCAGTCGCTAAGTTCAATGTGCATCATCTATGAAGGGGAGAAAGAAGTTGGGCAAGTCAACAATGCGCACCTTGTATCGTTTTGTGAAAAATCTCCTCAACCAAATTAAGTGTTCAAACACTTCGATTCGCTAAGTTCAATAATGTGCATCATCATCTATGAAGGGGAGAGAAATAACTTGGACAAGTCGACAATGCGCACCTAGCATGCAGTATCGTTTTGTGAAAAATCTCCCCAACCAAATTAAGTTAACATAATGAATGTATGTACTATTTTTTTAGCAATAAAATTACATTTATACGTTAATATTCTTTTTATTTCAAACATATTAAATTTACATTATTTTTATTTCAATCCCATAATCTCATGCTATGTTGCTCTACTACTACACCATCCTCAATTCTGATATGTTCCTAGATATGTTTCACAATTAACACAATAATGATCAATGTTCATACACGTGTCCATTAAATATGGTATCCATATAAGGCCAGCATCTATTATTTAAATATTTATTAAATTTCAGAATCTCTTTTTACTATAATTTGTTTACCCAAACAAACATAATATTAAACTGAACGTGTGAGTTCTTGTCGTCGTTTCAGATTTAATCCTAGTTTTACCTTCTTGCCCACAATGTGAGCATATCACAATGTGTTCCGTAAGCTATGTGTGACATATCTGCTCACTTGCTATTCACTTAATTCATTTAATAGTGGAATGGGGGATATATGACAGCCCCCGATCCTCGTATCCACCTCTACAACGAGGAGTAATATTTAATAAGATGGAGGAGGATGATCGTAAGTCCTTATTTTTCTTTTGCTTTACAATATTTTTTTTTTCTTAGCGGAATGTGGGGGATATGAAAGCCCCCTAATTCCCTTCTTCTCTTCCCCTAATATGATTCCCATCACCGATCAATATCAGTGATGATGATGAGTCGTCCCGTCCTCCTTCCCGTCTCCGGTAGGATTACACACCCCCGATGTCGCGATTCGCCGAGGCCCCCCACCGGAGCGGTAGATATAACTAATTTACTCAAAGATATTATTATAGAAATAAAAAAAAAAATAGAACGTTAAATTTTTTGTTTTTATACTTTTAAATACGTTAATTAATTTCATTGAATGAAGATGTTTATATCAAAGAAAAACAACTCAAATTATGGCGAAAAACTCATAAATCAAAAGATTGTAAAGGTAATAAGTCACTCAACACGAAAAAACAAACAACAACAACCACCATGAAAAAAACAACTTTTCCGGAGATAATTAAAATGATTCATGAAATCATCTCTCGGTATAAATTGAGTGTCTTATGTTTTTACAGTTTATTTTTATTATTTCACACATCATGGCCATGACTAATGCTAACAACGAGTATGCCACAATCCCCTGAGATCTAATCCCGGGGATTTGTGAGTTGCGTCACCCAAATGTAAGTTATACCTATACTAGAATTAATTTTTCCACATGTAATATTAATTTTTTAGACTATTATGATTGTGACAACGAATGGTTGTTTTGAGGACTTGCTCGTCCAGGGGGGCGCATAATTTATAGTTATGTGACCCCACAGACTATTTGATTATTGCTGGGGGCGATGTCATACCCTCACATTTTTTTATACTGCCTAAGTATTTTTTCTTGTTACTTTAATGTTTTATTAATTTTTTTTTATATTTGGTTGGTTTTTATACTTTTATTTCATTTTATTTATAGTCGGAGGAGTAATGTTGCCGCCACCACCACCGCTTATCCCATTAGACATGGTTGACTTAACCGCTGAAGGTGATGATGACTCAGTTAGTTTTTTACTTTTTAATTAATTTTATTTTTTACAGAGGAAGTGATCGATCTTACAGCGGGCGGCGTAAACGCTGTTAATTCTGTGGTAATTGACATTATCACAGAAAACAATTCAGTGGTAATTGGTACATTTTTATTAATTCTTCTCATAATCAGTTGGTTTTTATACGTTTATTTCATTTTATGTTTTTTATAGTCGGAGGAGTGATGATGATATCACCATCACCATCACCACTCAATCCGCTAGTGATTGAAGTAAATTTCAAAAATATATGAACATAAAAAAATTTAAATCGTATAAAATTTAACTCAATTCTCATTAAAAAATAAAATCTTGAAGCCGTTAAATGAGGTTAATGCGGTTATATAAAGATTACGAATTTTAACTTTACGTTTAAATGCGATAGTTTTAAATTAATCACTTTAGTATTATTTAACTTGTTCTTCATTAACATATACTACTACTTCAATGGCTTTATTCAACGAACCTTCATTGAAAGAGTTAGCTCAAACGAAAATTAATTTAAACTTATCGAAACGTGTAAATGTGCTAACACTTAGAGAATACTATCCGTGGAAGTTAGTGTTAGAGTTATAGAACACCTGGTCCGAGGACAATTGGAATGAGCTGGGGACGCATAAAAAATGTTCCGATGATGTAGACGTGAGGTGTATTACGATGGATGTGTTTAATAATAACCTCAATCATAAGTAACAATGCGCGATCTTTAGAAATGTTGAAATTTGCAGGTAAATTAGAAATTAATATATAGTCTATAAAACTAATTGAAATTTTAATAATACTTTACCGATGAAATTTTCAATCGAAAAAATGTGAACGAAGTAGTATACGAATCGGCATCATACATTCAAACTAAAC